ACACACACACACACACACACACACACACACACACACACACATGCACATACACACACAGGGTCATCCACGAGGTGATTTTATGCAATTCTTCAAATATGAATGATTTATTGCATCAGTTACCCTGTTGCCTGAGGTATGTTTTTTGTGAGTGCTTCTAATTATTGCTAGTGTCACTATCATCTTTATTATGATTATAGTCATTTGTTAGCATTGTTAGTATTGTCATTTTTATCATCATCGTCACAAGAATTATCATTATCACCAGTATTATCCTATTCTTATTTTCATTATCGTCAATATCATTGTTGTTGTTTTCATTATTACCATTATCATTGTTGTTTTCATAATTATAATTAGCAATATCACCATTAATATTGTGTTATTATTATCATTATTACAACTAGTATTAGCATATGTTATCATTATTACTGTTGTTTTGTTGTTATTGTTATCATTATTATTATTTCTGTTATTTGTTTACACCATTAGTATCATAGTCCTTATCTTAATTCACATTTCATTATTCATTAATTCATAATTCATAAATTCATAATTCATAATTCACATTGTTTCTAAAGACCTTACTTCGAAATATTCTTGATGAATTGAATACTCCAAAAATGCATATACAAAATATTCATAATTACATTAAAAAATCAACTTCTTATTTATTTATTATTGATATTTGTTTACACCATTAGTATCATAGTCCTTATCATTTATTCACATCATTTCTAAAGACCTTCCTCGAGAACTCCAAAAAATATAAATATACAAAATATTCATAATTACCAGACACATTAAAAAAAATCATCTTCTTATTTCCTTCTTTTATTTTCTTTCTTGTCATTTTTCCTTGCGTTGTCTTTGCTCATTCTGGCGAGACCGTTCAAATCGCCAGCGGGTTTCCTCGGGGTTTCGGTCGCTTCGTTAAACTTGATTCTGCTTAATGGATTTTAATGGCTGGTCTGGAATTCAATGTCTTTCGCTTTCTATATTACCATTACCATCAAAACGAACCCAAACAGAGGGCGAACCTAACCCCCCTCCCCTCCCCCCTCCCGCAGGAGTGGCCGCCGCCCCCACCACCGCACGCGGCGCTTCCTCTACTCGCGGCGCTACACCATCGAGGTCATGGTTGTGATCGACGGCAAGATGGCGCGCTACCATGGGAAGCATGTCGACCAGTATGTGCTCACGCTCATGTCCGTGGTAAGTTGTCTATTTCTCTCTTTTTCGTTTTATGTTTTTAACTGTTTTCTATTTTTTTATTGGTTTTGTATTTTATTATTATTTTTACTTATTTGTTTTATTTTGTTATTGTTATTTTTTGTTTTATTTTATTTTTATTATTTATTTATTCATCTTTTATTTATTTATTTGAAATTATTATTTTTTATTTATTTATATATTTTTTTATTTTTTTTTGTTTATTTGATGTTCTTTCTTATTTCTTTATTTTTTATTTTTTTTCATTTTATTTTTTTTCATTTTTTATTCATTTATTTTATGTGTGTGTGGTTGGATGGATGGCTTGGAATGGTTATGTGGTTGGGTTTGTGGTTTAAATGGATGGATGGGTGGCTAGATGGATACTTTGGGAGTGTGTGGGTGGATGTGCTGGTGGTTGGATGGATGGCACGGGTGGATAGATGGATAGTTGGTTGGGTGGTTGCTTTGGATGGATGGGTGAAGGTGAGTGGATGAGTGGATAGATATTTGGATGGGTTGTTGGTTGGTGGATGGATGGTTGGATAGTTGCGTGGTTGGTTTACATGAATGGATAGTTGGCTGAGTGAATAGTGGATTGGGTGGTTGGATAGTTGTTTAAATGGATAGTGGATGGAAGAAAGATGGATGATGTTTTTATCTTTTGTTTTTATTGCTTCATCTGATATTTCTCATTTAATTTCTTCATCTTTTTCCGTCTTATTTTACCACACGATCGTCATATTAATTACTGTTAATGTAGTTATCATTATCTCCATTACATGTATAACGCTTTCTGTTCATCTTTTCACTGTCTTATAAATTTATTGTCTTCTTCATCACTATCACCAAAATCTTAAGACCCAACGTCACTAATTACACGTGTTAAGCGTATTTTTATCGCCCTTTCTCGAATAAAGTTCTCTAATTATCATAACTAATTATCTCACTTGATATGTTTATTCACAGACCATCATGTGGCAAGATCAAGATGAGTTGCCAATTAGCGAGAAAGGAAAATTTGTATCCCGTTTTTAAGAATAATCATGCGAATTTGCAAATTAGATTTCTTGTTCTCTTTGGGGATAAATAGACACAGTTGGATATTTTATAATGAGTCATATGAGGATGATTTTTAAGATATAATGGTAAGAAATAGTGAATTTTAGTGTACTTCTTCTGTTTGAATAATAAATTTAATTGGGAAGATTTCGTTTTGGATATACAAACGATATCCAATTAGATCACCACACAAACATTATTAAGGACATTGAGTAATTGTCATCGCCGTCATTATCGCCTCGTCCTTATTAGTCCAATCAGTTCCGGAAGGATGAACAACCGGCCGAAGCGACCAACCCCCCCTAACCCCCTCCCCCTTCCCTCCCTCCCCCAGGTGGCCCTCATCTTCCGCGACGCCAGCATCGGCAACCGCATCGACATCGCCGTGGTGGAGGTCCTGCGTCCCGAGCGGCAGTCCTTCGTGCCCAAGCGCTCCTACGAGAACAACGCCGAGGCCATGGGCAAGTCGGCCGAGGAGATGCTCAAGATGTTCTGCAAGTGGCAGAAGCAGGGGCTCAAGTACAACACCAACCACCCGAGGCGATACGACACGGCGCTCCTGCTCACGAGGTAGGGGGGAGGGGGAGGGGAGGAGGGAGGAGGAGGGGGGGGAGGGGGGAGGAGGAGGAAGTGGGGAGGGGGGAGGAAGGGAGGGGGGGAGGAGGGAAGGAGTGAGCTGGGAGGAGGGAGGGAGAAAGGGGAGGAGGAGGAGGAGGAGGAGGAGGAGGAGGAGGAGGGGAGGAAGGGAGGGGGGGATGGAGGAGGGGAGGGAAAGAGAGGGAGGAGTAAGGGGAGGAGTGAGGATGACTGGGAGAGGGGAGGAGGGGGGGAGGGGGGAGGGTGGTGACGAAAGGGATTAAGGGATTGTGGATAGGAGACAGAGGGATAGATAGAAGATAGATAGAAAACAGAGAAATAGGTAGAATATAGATAGACGACAGTGAAATAGATATAAAATTAAAAGACAGAGGAATGGATAGATAGAAAATTAAAAGACAGAGAAATGGATAGATAGAAAATTAGAAGACAGGGAAATAAATAGATATATAGAGGACAGACAAATAGTTAGAAGATAGATAGAGAAAGAGAAGTAGATAGATAGACAATTTCCACCAATTAAAGAAAAAAAGAAAAAAAAGAAAAAAAAAAAACTCAGCTCAGTAGTTTCCACCAATTAGAAAAAAAAAAAAAATCAGCTCAGTAGTTTCCACCAATTAAAAAAAAAATTAAAATAAATAAATGAATAAAACCCGGAACCTTGCCCTAACCTGCCCTAACCTGACCTCTGTCCGCCGCCGCAGGGAGAACATCTGCCGCAACCCGTGGACCAAGAGCTGCGACACGCTGGGCCTGGCGGAGCTCGGGACCATGTGTTCCAAGCACTCGTCCTGCTCCATCGTGCAGGACAACGGGCTCTCGGCGGCCTTCACCATCGCGCACGAGCTGGGACACCTGTACGTGCGCGGGTTTGCTCTGAGGGCTGACGAGGCGGACGTGCGATACATGAGGCCTTAGACACTTGCACACACGAATGCAGTTGTACATATACACGTGAATGGGTGCATCAGGTTATATATATATATATATATATATATATATATATATATATATATATATATATATATATATATATAGAGAGAGAGAGAGAGAGAGAGAGAGAGAGAGAGAGAGAGAGAGAGAGAGAGAGGAGAGAGAAAGAGAGAGAGACAGACAGACAGACAGAGACAGACAGACAGACAGACAGAACAGACAGACAGACAGACAGACAGACAGACAGACAGACAGACAGACAGACAGACAGACACAGACAGACACACACACACACACACACACACACACACACACACACACACACACCACACACCACACACACACACACACACACACACACACACCACACACACACACACACACACACACACACACACACAAAACACATACTTGTGTATTCCTAAAAAATAATCGACTAGTGGATAAATATATATACTTACCAACATGAACATAGATACAAATGAAAAAAAAATGCAATTCCTCTTGACCATAACCTAGAAAGAAATAAAACGAAAGACAAACAAAGAAACATAATTAATCTCACCCCCCTCCCCCTCCCCTCCCGCAGCCTCAACATGCCGCATGACAACGACGACAAGTGCAAGCTGATCCGCGGCTCCAAAGACGACAGCCACCGCATGAACGTCATGAGCCGCATGCTGGACCACAACACGCTGCCGTGGGTCTGGTCCAACTGCTCCAGGCACATCCTCACCGAGTACCTCAAGTCAGTGCCTGCGGGAGTGCCTTTGTGGCTGTGGTGGTGTTGTTATGAGTCGTTGTTGTAGTTGTAGCGGTTGTGTTTGTGTTGTTGTATTATTTGTGTCATGATAATTTTGATTTTGTTATTATTATCTTTATTGTCATTGATTTTATTATAGTTATCATAGTCATCATCATTATTATTATTGTTGTTATTGTTTTATTATTTTTATCATTACCATTGCTGTTATAGTTATCATTATTGAAATACCAACAATGATAACAATAACAGGAACGATTATAGCGTCAATCACAGTAGTAATGATAATGATGATAATGATAACTATAATAAAACAATGACAATGATAATGACAATACTAATGATAATAATGATGGCAATTACAATGCTTATCCCTGTTATTTATTTCCCACCCTTTCTCTCCCCAACAACCAACCATTAAAATTCGCCCCTCTCCCCCCCTCCCCCCCAGCGGCGGCCACGGGCGGTGCCTGGAGGAGGAGGCGTGGACCAACAAGCTCGTGGAGGAGAAGACGGAGCTGACACTGGCCGGCGAGCTCTTCAACGCCAGCAAGCAGTGTCAGTACGTCTTCGGGAAGTCAGCCAAGATTTGCCCCCACATGGTCAGTGGCCTCGAGGTCAGAGGACGACGCGCTCGCTCTCTCTTTCTTCTCTCTCTCTCTTTCTTTCTCTTTCTCTTTCTCTTTTCTTTCTCTTTCTCTTTCTTTTCTTTCTTTCTTTTTCTTTCTTTCTTTCTTTCTTCTTTCTTTCTTTCTTTCTTCTTTCTTTCTTTCTTTCTTTCTCTCTCTCTCTCTCTCTCTCTCTCTCTCTCTCTCTCTCTCTCTCTCTCTCTCTTCCCCTCTTATTATTATTATTATTATTAATAGTAGTAGTAGTAGTAGTAGTATTTTTATTCTCCACCTTCCCTCTCTCCTTCTTCTTCTCCTATTTCTCCTTCTCCTTTTCTTTCTTCTCCTCCAATTCCTTTTCATCTTTCTCCTTCTCCTTTTCTTTCTTCTCCTCCTACTCCTTTTCATCTAATTAATTAAGATAAGATTGCAATTATGGAAGACTCTGAGAATAAAGAAATCTGTCAATGAATCTGTAATGAATGGATTCTCGACACTCTAGAATTTGCATGAGAGACACGCACGCAGGCAAACCCGCCGCTCACATTTTTCTGCAACATTGAGCAAAGGTCATTCAACTGCATAAAAATGCTCTCCTTTTACGTAGTCAAACGAACATTGTCACGCGCGCAGAAACATAGATCGAAACGAGAAAATTTAAAATAAAGGAATGAATGAATCAGAAATGGGTAAAGGTGAATAGATAATAGGTAAAGGGAGTGATAAATGGGCAACGTAAGAATAGGTAATTAGATTATGAATGATAATATTAGGAGACTTTTTAATGCATGCACGAATGAGCTTTGACGGATTACGTAACAGATGACCATGCCAGCATTAACCTCCCCCCCCTCCAGCCCCCGTGCAAGCGCCTGTGGTGCACGACGGCGATGGACGAGAAGGAGGGCTGCCGCACGCAGCACATGCCGTGGGCGGACGGCACCGTGTGCGAGGTGGGCAAGTGGTGCCTGCGGGGCAAGTGCGTCGACAAGAACAAGGGCGCCATGAAGAAGGTGGACGGGCAGTGGGGCGACTGGCTGCCGTGAGTCGAGCGTCGCGCTCTTTCTGCTTGCTTGCATGTGTATTTGGATGTATGCTCATATATATTATATATATATATATATATATATATATATATATATATATATATATATATATATATATATATATATATATATATATATATATATATATATATTATATATATATATTATATATATATATATATATATATTATATATATATATATATATATATATATATATATATATATATATATATAGATAGATTAGATATATAAACATTGAAAAGCAGAGGTAATCTATATCATTACCTGTATTAGCGGTAACACCGGTAATGATACAGATGACCTCAAGGCTGATCCCGGCCCACGAAAGGCGGCAAATCCGAATCCTTTATCTCGCCTCCGAAAGCACTGACCCAATCTCCGCAGGTGGAGCGCCTGCTCGCGAACGTGCGGCGTGGGCGTGCGGCGGTCGGAGCGCGGCTGCGACTACCCGAAGCCCCAGTACGGCGGCCGCTACTGCACGGGCGAGCGCGTGAGGTACGAGTCCTGCATCATGAGGCCGTGCTCTTCCGGCGCCATCGACTTCCGCACGCAGCAGTGCCAGGCGTATAACAAGAAGAACTTCGGTCTGCCCGACATTCCCGAAGATGTGAAGTGGATTCCCAAATATGCCAGCAGTGAGTCCCGCTCTCGGATGAGTTAGGAATCTGTTTCTCTCTCTTGGGTTTGCGTCTGGAGGGAGAGAGAGAGAGAGAGAGAGGAGAGAGAGAGAGAGAGAGAGAGAGAGAGAGAGAGAGAGAGAGAGAGAGAGAGAGAGAGAGAGAGAGAGAGAGAGAGAGAGGGAGAGGTAGAGAGAGAGAAAGGGGGAGAGAGGCAGAGGAGAAAGAGAGGGGAGGGGGGGAGAGGAGAGAGAGAAGAGGGAGAGAGAGAGGGGGGGGTAGAGAGAGAGAGAGAGAGAGAGAGAGAGAGAGAAGAGAGGAGGAGGGGGAGGTAGAGGAGAGAGAGGGAGAGAGGGAAAGGGAGAGACGGAAAGAGAGACAGAGGAGAGAGACAGAGAGAGAGAGAGACAGAGTGAGAGAGAGAGAGAGAGAGAGAGGAGATGAGAGAGAGAGAGAGAGAGGAGAGAGAGTAGAGAGAGAGAGAGAGAGAGAGAGAGAGAGAGAGAGAGAGAGAGAGAGAGAGAGAGAGAGAGAGAGAGAGAAGAGAGAGAGAGAGAGAGAAGAAAGAGAGAGCGGAGAGCGAGAGCGAGAACGAGAGCGAGAGAGAGCGGGAAGAGAGAGAGAGCGGGGAAGAGAGAGAGAGAGAGAAGAGCGGGAGAGAGAGAGGCGCGGGGAAGGTAGAGAGAGAGAGAGCGAGAGAAATATCACCACCCCTTCCTCCCTTCCCGCAGTCCGACGCGAGGACAGCTGCAAGCTCTTCTGCCAGGTGTACAACAACAGCCGCACGTACTTCCAGCTGCGGGAGAAGGTGGAGGACGGGACGCCGTGCGGGCCGGACACCTACGACATCTGCGTGAACGGCGAGTGCCGCGTCGCCGGCTGCGACTACGTGCTCAACTCCACGGCCAAAGCGGGTGGGTGGAGCCGCGTTCTCCGGGGATCAGGACACGTTCGCTGGGAGTTAAATGGGTGCACTTACACACACTCACGCACGTTCATAGACACACATGCCCCCCACACATGCGCTTACGCGGGTACACATCCTCTCACAAATAAATATTGACGCACATGTAGGGATTTGTTCTGTTTGCCTTCGCTGTCCCCAAATACCTAAAATGCTGACCCGCGTGCCCCTTGACCTCGCCCCCAGACAGCTGCGGCGTGTGCAACGGCGACAACTCCACGTGCAAGGTCACCTCGGGGTCAATCGTCAAGAGTCGCAGCTACGGCTACACCGACATCGTGGTCGTGCCCGAAGGCGCCGCCATGGTCGACGTCACGCAGGGGTCGTCCGACGAGCAGGCGGCGGATGACAATTACCTGGGTAAGGCAAAGGCTTCATGTTTTGTGTGTAAAGTTTAATAGTTGGTTTTGTAAGATGGAGTAATGATGTGTGTGTGTGTGTGCGTATGCATTTGTGTTTATGCGTGTGCGCGTGCATGTGAATTTGAATTTTAATAATTCTGTTGGTTCCTTTCTCCAGCGCTTATGGACGTGGAAACCGGCGAGTACCTCCTGAACGGCCACTGGATCGTGACGCCGTTCCAGAAGCTGGTGGAGTTCGGCGGCACCTTGATCGAGTACACGGGCTCCAACGCCGGCACGGAGAGGATCAACTCCACCAAGCCTTTGCAGAAGAGGCTGCTCGTGCAGGTCAGTCGGACGAAGTGAAACGTGGGTTTGGTTGTCCGTAGACTTTCGCCGCTTGCCAACGAAGACGTGGAAGCTTGGCATTTCGTGCATCGTTTCTAAAATTTGCGACTGACTCTAAGATGTAAACCGCAATTGTGAGATGTATTAAAAGTCGACTGACATAGATACACGGATTTATATACGTTTTCTCTTTCCAGATCCTGTCTGTAGGGAACCTTACCCCTCCTCACGTCAAGTATAGCTACACAAAGTCGAACTTACTCACTTCGCCGAATTATTATTGGAGATTAGGCGAATGGAGCAACTGCACGGAGTCATGTATTGGTGAGGGAAAGAAGATATAATAATATGCTATAAGAGTTATATGAATTATAGTTGGATATTCTTTATATGGATATTCTTTATATTTGTGTGGATTAGCTGGTGCCAAATGCACTCATCCATTCAGACGATCACACAAACCCATATCCGACTTAAAGACGCCTGTCCCCCGCCACCTGGATCCGCCACGGTCTGCAAACCCACAAACCCACCGATGCCTCTCCCTCCACACAAAATCAAACATCAACCTAACACAAACCTCACCCACACAGGCCTAACACACGAAACTAAATAACCAACCTAACACAAACCTCACCCACACAGGCCTAACACACGAAACTAAATAACCAACCCAACACAAACCTCACGGACGCACCCCCACGCAGACCTAACCCACACAGCCAACCCGGCCACTAAAGCTGACCCTCCCCCCGCTCCTTCCTTCCAGGCGAACGGCAAAAGTCGGCTTACTGCGTCCGAGCCGACACGGGCGAGGCCACCATCGACGAGATGTGCCTCGCCCACCCGCGCCCCGCCACCGTCACCGAGTCCTGCGCCCACACCTGCCCTGCCAGCTGGACGTACAAGGAGTGGTCCGCGGTAAGTGGGAGAGAGAGAGGAGAGAGAGAGAGAGAGAGAGAGAGAGAGAGAGAGAGAGAGAGAGAGAGAGAGAGAGAGAGAGAGAGAGAGAGAGAGAGAGAGAGAGACAGACAGAGAGAGTGGGAGTGAGTGAGTTAGAGAGAGAATAGAGAGAGAGAGAGAAATCAAAACAAAACTAGAAATCCCCAGAGAAAACCAAATCCCTGAACTGCACCCCCTCCCTTACCGCCCCCGCCTCCTCCCTCACCAACGCCTCCCTCCCTCCCCCAGTGCGGGCTGAGCGGCGAGACGTGCCTCCGCCGGCGCGAGGTGATGGGCTGCGTCTCGAGCCTCGGCGACAGCGTGAAGGAGAACCGCTGCGAGGAGGACCAGCAGGCGACGGAGGAAGTGTGCCCCCGCGAGGAGTGCCCCTACTGGCAGTATCACGAGTGGTCGCCGGTAGGACCCCGCTCTTTTTTTTTTTTTTCATTCTATGTGTTTTTTTTCCGTTTTGTCATGTATTGCTACTCTTATTTTTTAAACAGGCAATTTCATGAATTATGATGATTTTTTTTTTTTTATATATTTTCGTCTTTTTTTACAAACACAAAAGAATATTGAAAATGACATGACAAGGTATAATGTAATATGATCAAACTGATTTTCTTGAATTGAAAAAAATGATAATGATAATCAAAAATAAATAATAATAATAATGATCAAATAAAATCACTATGCAGAAAACACTTAGGTTACACAAATTAGAACGAAAACCCCCACCAGAGAAAAATTGCAACCCCATCCACTCAGAACGAACCCCACTCCCAAGCCAAACCAACCCTAACCCTCCCCCTCCTTCCCCTCCCCCCCAGTGCAAGTGCGCGAACGGCAATACGAGCGGCGAGCGACGGCGCCTGTACTCCTGCCGGATACGCGACCGCCCGATCTCGAGGTGGCAGTGCGAGCAGATGGAGGCGCCGAAGGACACCGGCAACTGCTCCTGCTGGTACGCCGAGGCATGGAGCTCGCTGGTAAGTGGTCCGCAGAAGGCATGCCGGTTCTGCCTCTTTGTTTAATTTGGGGTTTCGTTAATTTTTTAATCATATATAGTTCTTTTTAGGAGTGGGTGTGGGGCTTGGATCGTGTAGGAGGGGGCGGTTGGGGGCGTCCTCGTAGAAGGGGGTCTTCGTTTGTTTGTTTGTTCGCGACCAAAGCCTGAGTTGAGAATGCGATGGCGATTATTGTAGATGGACTCTCTCGTGTAGTGCCTTCAGTAGATGGTTTGTCTGTTCTGAGATGGGTGTATTACTTATCAGAGAGAGGGAGAGGAGAGGAGAGGAGAGGAGAGGGGGGAGAGGGAGAGGGAGAGGGAGAGTGAGAGGGAGAGTGAGAGGGAGAGTGAGAGAGAGTGAGAGGGAGAGGAGAGGGAGAGGGAGAGTGAGAGGGAGGAGAGAGGGAGAGGAGAGGGAGAGGAGAGGGGAGAGGGAGAGGGAGTGAGAGTGAGAGAGTGAGTGAGTGAGTGAGTGTGAGGAGTGAGGGAGGGAGTGAGGGAGGAGGGAGTGAGGGAGGGAGAGGGAGGAGAGGGAGGGAGGGAGGGAGAAGGAGGAAGGGGGAGGGAGGGAGGAGAGAGGGAGAGAGAGGAAGAGAGAGGGAGAGAGGGGAGAGAGAGAGAGAGAGAGAGAGAGAGAGAGAGAGAGAGAGAGGAGAGAGAGGGAGAGGAGGAAGAGGGAGTGTGAGAGGGGAGAGGAGAGAGAGTGTGAGTGAGTGAGTATACACGTGTGCGTATTTAGGTGTTATTTACGGATAAAATCTGGATTTCGTAGACGACTTCCATCGGCGCACCCATCTCCGGAACTTTTTTCAGTTACTGAATTCTGAAGACATATTAACTGAATGTTTTAGTAGTGTTAGTATCTGTAGAAAATAGATGTTTGTATTCAAGAGAATGCTATTTTTACGGTCTATTTTTAGCTTCTATTTCTTTACTTCTTTTCAGGACTTGTTAATTACTGTTATTGTATATGTTAATATCTAGATATGCATGCCACATATATTCAACTTTTTAATAATTATTAATTAGATTATCTGTATATTACATTTACTTTAGTTTATCTTATAGTAGTTTTTATCTATAATTAATGAATATATATATAATCTTTTTTTTCCAATTTCCTTATATTTTCCTTTTAAATTATATCTGTCTAATAAATGTCTTACTTTTTTTCTTTAGTTTTTGTCATATTTATTTTATACTCTCGTAACTAGTAATGATACTTAATTAATGTACAGATGAATATGTAAATTTTATGACATCTTTGTTTTAATCATTATCTTTCTGTTATTACCTAACGTAATCGATTTAATTACCTTAATTATAACATTAATTTCATTACCATGGCCCCCTATATCATTTTTCTTATCATTATGTCGGCATTATCACTACCATGTTTATTATCAGTTTCATTATTATCACTGTTCATTATCTCTCTTTCGCTATCATTAGTGAAAACAACATTGTCATGAGCCTTTTTTCCTCAGTCGTCATAGTCATCACCATTGTCATCACCATCGTAGTCATCATCACAATCATTACCGTTGACATAGTACCGATAAACATCATTAAGTTATCACTATTACCCTCATGCTTATAATCACTCATTCTCATCTTCATCCCTTCGCTATCATCATCTTCACCATCACCCTCATCATCATCATCACCGTCACCCTCACTCTCCTCACCCTCACCCACTCCCTCATTTTCATTATTAGCCTCACTAGGTAGGCATGCATTTACATTCACTTTCACCCTCACACTAACGGTCACTCTCACTCTCACTTCCACCTTGACCCTCACACTCACCCTCATCCTCACTTTCAAATATACTCTCATCCTCATTTTCACCCTCACCCTCACTCTCACTCTCATTCTCACCCTCACCCTCAGCGTCACCCTCAAGCTCAAGCTCGACCTCATCCCCTTTCTCATCGTCATCTTCATCCTCATCCCGCTCTCTATCACCCTCATCGCCGTGACCACCATCCCCTTCACGCCCGCGCCCGCCCGCCCATCCCTCGCGGCCCCTGAGTTACCGTTCCGCCCCTCTCCCAGTGCGAGCTCGGTGGCGAGGGCGGCACTTCGGACGCGGACAGGCACTGGAAGAAGCCGAGAGCCAGGCACCCGGGAGGAGAGAAGGAGAGGAGGAGGAGGAGGAGGAGGAGGAGGAGGAGGAGGAGGAAGAGCAGGAAAGGGCAAAGGAGGATTGGGATTAGGAGGAGGAGAGGAGGAGTTGGTGGAGGAGGAGTTGGTGGAGTTGGTGGAGGAGGAGGAGCAGGAGGAGAGGAGAGGAGCAGGAGGAGAGGAGGAGGTGGAGGGGAGGAGGGGGAGGGCCGGGAGGGAAGGGGCCGAAGCCCAAGTGCGGAGACGGCGTCCGGCGCCGGAGGGTGACGTGCGGAGAGCCCGAGGCCAACCTCCCGCCGACGGACTGCGACGCCTTCACCAGGCCCCCGGAGGTGTCCCCCTGCCACGTCCCTTGCCCCACCACAACCACAACCACAACCACAACCACCACTACCCGACCACTACCACGACCACCACACCCCCGCCCACCACCACACCCACCCCGACGCCCCAATCATCCACACTAACACCCGATCTGTCCTCTGTGCCCTCTGTTTCCGATCTCGATAACGAATCGCCACTTGAGGAGGTAATTCCCCGTCGCTCGCTGCCAGATGTTTGCTCTTTGTTTATAGTTTAAGTTGTATGGATTTCTGTGTTTTTTTTCCGTATTGTGCATTTCCTGTGGCTTGAGTAGAAAGCATGTCTCTTTTGGTTTGTCTTACCCATTTCCTTGTGCTCTTGGTGATTCGCTTATGTGTTCGTTTATTGTTATTTCTTGCACGCATAGATTAACTTTCCCCTTACTAATTAATGCTGGCCTTGCGTCTCCCCGGAGCAGGGGATTGGAGTGGGAAATTAATGACTGCACTTGAATCCTTCTTATTTGAATGGATCATGAATTATACAAAATCCTGTGCTTCTTCGCGCCTTTACAACTGCAAAAAAAGAATAATGAAGGGCTAATGAAATGAAAAAAAGATAAAACAGTGAAATAACTAAAAGCCTTTTGGGGATGCTGTAGAGGAAGTGGAAGGCTTGGAACCCGCTACGTCCGTTTTGCTCAGAGCTCTTTCATGGCTTATTCAGCTGGATGAAATTCATGTCTTTTTATGTGCTTGCTTGTTTGCAGGGTGATTATGCTTGGCGATTTATATATGCGTATATATATATATATATATATATATATATATATATATATATATATATATATATATATATATATATATATATATATATGTCGTACTGATGAATACATATGTCTGTATATATAATCTTTCTGTATATTTTGCACAGTTATCTATATCAATAAATATGTTACCAATTTCCGAATTTATCTAAAAACGCATTTCGCGTAGCTAGGAATAACTCTAAAAGTTAGATAGCTCCAGTAACTCAGTGAAAAGCAAAAAGATAATCCTAAAAAGGACAAAAGTCAAGAAATAGCCCATCCTAACCCCCCCCCCCACCCGCCGCAGAACCAGGGCGGGCACTCCGAGCACGACAACCTGGTGGGCGGCGAGCACCACGACAAGCGGCGGCGCCAGCACCCGCGCCACCGCCACCTGCCGCCCGACGACGCCAACGACATCCCCAACGCCCTGCCCGGCCTCGACGACAGGGACCTCGACGACAAGGACTTCCTGGACAACCGCGTGGACGGCGGCGGCCCCCGCTACGACGGGCGGCGCGGCAAGGAGCGCGGCGGCCAGCAGCCCTGGGCCCGCCCGCGCGGCTCCCACAGGGGCCAGCACCACAGCAGCGAGGAGGAGAGCAACAGCGTCGTGCAGGAGTACGACCACGACAGGCGCTACAAGAACAAGAACAACTGGCAGACCGGCGACTGGGGCAGGGTAGGTGTTCAGGGAGGTAGAGGGAGGCAAGAGGGAGGGCAAGAGGGAGGGAAAGGGGGAGGGGGAAAAGGGAAAACTCACTTGTGTAAATAAGTATCTGCAGGTAAAAGAAGAAAAAAAAAAATCGAAGTGACAACCCACTTCCAAAGCCTCCCTACTTAAGCCGAAAACATCCCCCTCGCTCCCCAGTGTTCCCGTGACTGCGGCGGCGGGCAGAAGAGGCGGCAGGTCGTGTGCATGGGGCCGGAGGAGACGTGCCCGCTGGAGGAGAAGCCCGCCGACGTCGCCTCCTGCAACAGCGAGATCTGCACCGAGTGGTCGACGGGCGGCTGGGGGCACGTGAGTCGCTCGCTCGTGTTGCGGTTGTGGGCTTGTATTAGTATCATTATTAGTATTATTGTTATTATTTATTATATTAATTATTAATATTATTATCATTATTGATATTGTTGATATTATTATCATTATTAATATTGTTGATATTATTATCATTATTAATATTGTTGATATTATTATTATTATTATTATTATTGATATTATGTGTATAATTAATATTATTAAGATTATCATTATCATCACCATCATCATTATCATAATAATTATTATTATTATCATATCATTATCATTATCAGGATAATAATAACCATTATTATTATTATTATATTACCGGTAGTTATTATGACCATTATTCTTATCAGTGTTGTGATATCATCATTATTATTTTATATGGAAGGAATATTCATACAGACTTTTATGATATATATTTTTCCTCTAAGGTTACATTAAAAGGATTTTTTCTGATATGATAAGATTTAATTTCATACTTCGAATACAAGAACAGAATTTTGCCTTTCTATTTCATTTTTTCATAGTACGTGCAATGTAATCAAGCCATGTTAATGGGTAAAAGGAAATCCATCCATCCATCATCCATCCCCCCCCCCCCCCCCCCCGCCATGTCTGACCGCGAGTGCCCCGCAGTGCCACACGCGGAGGCCCCGCTGCGGGCGCGGCACGCAGCAGCGGCTGGTGGTGTGCCGCGCCGTGAACGGCGTGGAGCTGGCGGAGGAGCGGTGCCACCAGGAGGACCGGCCGACGCACGTGCGGCCCTGCAAGACGCCGTGCCACAACAAGGCGAGCGGCCGCGGCCAGCGCTACCGCTGGAAGACCGGCGATTGGTCCACGGTAAAGTATAAGAGACACCCCCTCCCCCCTCCCGGGCCCCACCCACCCAAAAGGAAGTTTAAAAACAATAAAAATAAAAATAATAACCGCAACTATCATAATTCTGCATCTGTGGGTCAGTCCTCCTCCTCCTCGTCTTATCCCTCCTCCTCCTCCTCCTTCCCCTCCTCTTCCTCCTCCTCCTCCTCGTCTTATCCTTCCTCCTCCTCCTCCTCCACCTCGTCTTATCCCTCCTCCTCCTCCTCTTCCTCTTCCTCTTATCCCTCCTCTTCTTCCTCCTACCCCTCGCCCTCCCCCGGCCGCCCCCCCTCCCCACCCCCCAAAGCCGCCCCTCCCCAAGGCTCCGCGTCACAAGTCGTCCTCGGGCTACTACTGAAGGCGAAGGAGGATGACGGGTTTATTATTATTATTAATTAATATTTTATATTTCTTTGTGATGAGAGAGAGAGAAAGAGAGAAAGAGAGAAAGGTGTAATAATAATAATAATAAAAAAACAGAGTGAATTTTATATTGATATTAAAAAAAAGAAAAGAAAATATACTATATATAATAAACTCATGATATGACCTGTGATGAGATTATGTGATAAACTGTACGGTGTGTGTGCGTGTGACATTTTGTAAAGGAAATAAATACTTAAAAGAGATGTTTATCACTGACTTACCCATCCCGCACGGAAAGGGTTCAGGTGGCACGCTGTAAACTAAGCCATACCGGATGTTTTTCCTTATTTTAGTTAAAAAAAATAAAGTCAAGTATTTCCTTATTTTAGATTTAAAAAGAATTTAAAAAGTCAAAACCATCTTTGCCCGATTTAAAAAAAGATGTATTAATATCACGTATTTTTTTTTTACTTTTAAAACACGTGTTATCATTTTCACTATAACTTTTCCGTCTTTAAATAACTATCCAGTAGATCTTAGTTTACACTACCACCCCCACCAGTAGAGAAAAAACATTAAAACCCTCTCTCCGTTTGTCTTTTCTACACATCTGCAACACCAGACCTCACTTTAGATCTATATAAAAATATATATGCTCGACACATACCATCTTTTTTTGGTAAGTTCTTGAAGTTTTTCGACGTCCTGCATGGGTCTCTCCCCGCGGTCACACCCTGGGTTAGAAGCCCCACAGTCTCTCTCGCTTCGTCTCAAAAGGGAAAAGACACCCTCCCCCTTCAATTAAAAAGAGCAAAACAACCGTGATTTTTAAAAGAGAGATTTCTCATTTTTGTGACAAGATTTTTTTTTACTTTATCAATTGCTTCCGTTTATAACTAATCTTTTCTTCTTTGTTTTATATTCTTGAGTTGCTGTTTCACATTGAGGAGTTTTACTATGTCATGAATATTTTTCTTTTCTGTCTTCATTTTGTCTTCTTGCCTGCTTTATATTCTTTTCTCGGAAAATTTAAAAAAAAAAGACTGATAACTTACTATCTCAACTTCCATCTTAAGTTATCTAGATTTTTTTTCTTGAATAATCATCCACATTTTTCTTGGTGTTTATTTTGAATCAGCACTCATTATTTTTTATTCAAGTTACCCTTGTAATATAAAAAAATCTGTGTATCATTTTCTTTGTCTCGTAGGAAGCCTTTGACATAAAGACATAATTATTATTAGAATCTCATTGACATTAATATATTGACTTTGATGTTAAAATTTGTAATCAAAAGAAGACATCTCAGCTATTTCATTGCCTAAATTATTATCATATTGTTTTTCCTATTCCTATTGGTAACTATATCATTTTCTGCATGTCTTTTTCCATAATATATTTTTTTTCCTCTTTCCATATAATCTTGTCACAAAATAGATAGATCTCCGTTTAAAACAATCCCACAAACTGGATGTTAAAAGCTTCAAAACTAACCAAAGCCTCTGAGTGAATGTTTGACCCTAATTCCTTTTATTTAAACATAACTTTT